TCTGTCTCAGCCATGCGCCTTGCCATTTCTACATCCCGGAATCTTCTCTCCAAGGATAAACTTACAGTCACTTCCTCTGGAAGCCTCTCCAAACATTTCCAGCCTAAGTAGGTGCCCCTAATGGACTTCTACTGGGTCCCTGGATTTAGCAGTTATTCCATAGTCATTGTAGATGCCATTGCTTCATTAGTGCCACCTCAGTCTCTTAGGCTTATACTACCAACCATGGTGCCTGGCTTAATAAACCATATTCTAAAATAAATTCCTGTGCTAAACTAGGCTTTTTTAGGAAGCAGGAAGAGACTTGCCCAGGTTATTTTAGGCCAGTGATGGCGAAACTTTTAGAGGTTTCAGTGATACAAACAGTCCCCTGCGGCATGCGTACCATAGTTTCTCCACCAGTGTTAGGCAATTGCAGTTTATCAAAAGGATCTCAGTAACTCAAAGAGCTTCAGGGAGAGGTGATTTATCAAGAAAGCCTTTACAGTAGGGGGGATTTTTGAGCAAAGCGTTGAAAGATGAATGGGTGTTTACCAAGAGACCAAGCCAGGGAAGGGGGCACTGTACACGTACGTGCCTGAGCCAGTTGGCTCAATACAGTTGTCAAATCCTTTTCCTCAGCATCAGAGGCCTGACTTTCAAGAAAAGTTAAGGACTATGTGTCTCCTGGCCCATAACTTCACCACCAGGGAATGAGTTACCATGAAAGCAAGTCCTTGACATGTGCCCTACGTACAACAGGTACTAGCAAGCAGGCACAGAAGTAACATCACAGTCTGCTTTTATAAACTTGGCAGTGTCTCCAATTACCCCTCCAGCAGGTTCTCTCTGAACCAGTTGCATCAGTATTCTGAAGGAAGGATCATCTGACTTTATCATCAGGTCTAGTGAATGAGTACTGCGTTAACTATACCCCTCTCCAGTGCTGAAGCCAACACTCAGAAGTGTCAGGGAGCTGACTCGCACCCATTCCCACAGCACAAGAGGCAATGGCAGAGGTGCCTGTACAAACCTTTCTAACAAACTTATCTTTAAAATACTTCATTACACAAATGAAAAAAAATATTTCTAGCTTGTATTTTGGTAACTACCAAACCTTCTGCTGTAGATATTGGGGCTTTTTGTTTATCTGAATTTAGTTTTGTTTTGTTTTGTTTTGTTTTGTTTTAGTTTTGGTTTTTAAGTCAGTCTTGCTACGTAGTTCAGACTGGCCTTGAACTCACTGTGTAGCCCAGCCTGGTCCCAAACTTACAGCAATCCTCCCACCTAACCCTTCTGAATGGTAAGACTACAGGCTTACCATGTCTGGCTTGCTGTAGATTTTGATAATGATATTTCAAGTGTTTGCTTCAGCTACAGAGTGTAAGTTTATGATAAATGTCCTCCAGACATTACCTCACAGCCTGGGTATAGTTGACACTACACAGTTGCCATCAAAATATTTTAAAATAAATTTCAAACAATATGAAGCATGAGTAGGTGAGACAGGAGGAGATTATGGCAGTGCAATATGGATACCTGTCTGTTACAGCGAGTGCACAGCTGCGGAGCCCTGCATAGGATGGCTAGATCTGATGTCAGAAGGATAGTATAAAAAAATGGTGGCCACTGGACCCATAGCCAGTGTCTTCTTTTCCTTGCAGTGACTCACTCTGTGTTCAGGGCATATTTTTTTTCCCATGCTTCTTTTCTTCAGAGCACTTCTTATTCTTTAGACACTTCTCTCTTCTCCCTCTTCTTTCCTAAATAAAAACCTCTTCTTAAACCTTTAATAAAGTAAAACCTCTAGGTTCTTCAGTTGTCCTGTCCAATTCTTCATTCAGGACAGCAAGGGTGTGAAAAGGAGTCCTGGGTAACCCAGTATCCAGTAACATTGGGACAATCCAGGCAAGGTGAGAGCTATCCAGCAAGGCTCATGAGTGAATTCACAGGTAACCTTTTTTAGTTGGTATGAGGTAAGCCCATGCAAGTAGATCTCGGTGAACTTGAATGTCAGAGATTCTTTTACATTAAGATCCATGTGAGTGACTTAATGTCTTTCTCCAATTGTACAGTTGGAACAGTAGCATCTGCCACATGGGTTGGGGGGAAAATTAAAAGCAATTATACAAAAGAGCTTAGCATGATGCCTGATAGGAAATGTCCAGTAAACATTAATCATGCCAGGTATGGTGACACATGCCCGTAACCCCAGATGCTCAGGAGGCTGAAGCAGGAGGATCACAAATTTGACATTGGCCTGGCAACTGAGTAAGACCTTATCTCAAAATTTTAAACAAAAGAGCGGGGGGTACTGGGGATGCCACTCAGTATGAATGAAGGCCCTAGGTTTGATCCCTAGTATGGAAAGAAAGAAAAAAAAACATGGCTCTTTTTACTGTCATTGTCATTGTTCATTGTTAATACGAGGGTAGTAAGGATTGTTTTCCCAGTGCCCAGCTCTGTACCAGGCTCATAATAGGCATGCATAAGTAATTTCAGGAATGAATTCATTTGGAAATCTATTTATGCTCATTCTTTCATCAAGTATGCATTGAGCACCTGGATCTGCTAAGACGGTGTTAGGCCCTGGCCATCAAAATAACACATACCCTCCCCCTTGCACACTGCAAGGGTAAGCAGATGGGTGAATGGGCAGTAAGGTTGCAGCTGGAGCACTGAGGAAGGCCCTGAATAGATTCCAGGGGAGAGTCAGGGTGAGGTCCCTGCAGGAGGTGATGTCTGAGTCCGGATGGTGGGTGGTTGGGCCTGAGAGGGTACCTGGAGTAGGAAGGACAGCCCTTGCCTCGGAGTGTTCAGAGGCCCCAGGTAAATGAGAATGTATGCTGTTCTGCACAGTTCTGAGCAAGTCATTTAACATCCCAGAGGTACTTAAAGATGACTGGAGGCTGCAGTTCAGTTTTAAATTTTCTCATATACAATTATGCTAAAACTACCCATATTTTTTGATTATATAAGATACAAATAGGCAAAGATGTCAAGCCTGGAGAAAAGGGATGGAACTAGCTCTCTCTCTCTCTCTCTGTCTCTGTCTCTCTCTCTTTCTCTCTCACTCTGCTTCTGGTTTGTGTTAATGTGCTTTACGTTCTGTCCAGAAATGGAAGTTTTTATTCTTAAGTTTCCCTTCTTACAACCTTTTTTACCAAATCTGTTGAAGTCTACAACTCACAGCTGCATGTTTTCTTCTCTTCCATTGCATTTTTCAATCGGCGGTCTCTGTGAGCGCTCATTGGATGAGCTGACCAGGAAGAGTGGGTGGTGGACAAGGGGCATGAGACTGAGCCAATCTGTCCATGATCTTCTGGCTCTTTCAGTGTATTAATCCTTCAGAGTGGGGTGAACATGAGCCGAGGAAGCATTTAGCAAAGTCACTATGGAAGTTAACAATAAGCAGGAGCTGACCTGTGTGCAAGTTCTCCTAGGGTCATTGTTGACATCCCTTTTGTGACTCTCAGGCTCCCAGTGTCAGACTGGGTTCAGTTCAGAATTCCTTTCTCAGGGCCTGGGTATTTGAAAGTTCAGGTTATAGGTTAAGTAACTCTCACTTAAACCCCTGCCATGTCAAGACCACACCTCAACGCAGGTGTGACCAGCAAAATATCTTATGATTCACACACAATATCTTAGGACTCATGCTGTTCATGCACAGGTTTACTCAGCAAGGATTTGCTGAGTTCTTACTAGGAATATTATACTGTAAGGAACAGGAAGAAGTGTGGACTTTTTTTTTTTTCTAGTACTGTAGATTGAACTCAAGGCTTTCACAAGGAGCTACATCCCCAGACAGGGTCTTGCTAAGTTGCTAAATTGCCCATGCTGGGCTAGAACATGCAATCCTCCTGCCTCCTCCTCCCAGATTTTAATAGATTTTTACAAGTTTATAGTACTGTTTCTTAGTGTCAGCGCTATTTACACTTTAAACTGGATACTCCCTTGTTGATAGGGACTGTTCTGGGCTTCGTAGGATATTTAGCTGTGTCTCAGGTCCCTACCCACTAGATGCCAGTAAGCACCCCTGCTTACAGTTATGACTACAAAAAATACCCTTGGGCATTGCCAAGTGTCCCTGATGCAGTGGGAGTCTCTGGTTGAGAATTATTAGCTTACAATATCAGGCATCTTCCTTGACACTTCATATATATTTTCTAATTTAGTCTTCCTTCTTTGAAAAGGCCTTAAGCAAGATGGTTTGAATATGAGAATAGGAAATACTACCTAGAGTCCTGTGGCTAGAACTGTGAGATTTGGACTTTAAACCCAGGTTTTGTTATTCTGCTATATCTCCAGACTGACAAGCGACATGGCTCTAACCCCAAAGCAACTTCAGAGCCGGTTGGAGAGATATGACATGAGCCTAATAAGTTACTCTGTGTTTATGGAAGAATAAGTTATCTGAGCACTCGGAAAGAGGTGACAGTGGGTTAGGGAAGTCAGGGAACCCAGCCTGCAGTGATCAGAACATCCTTTGCATGTTTGTGGGTAAACACCTTGACGGACAGTGAGTTTGTCCTGAGGAGTGGCTGGAGGTTTTGCATAGGGAGCATCATACTTCACTTTAAGAGAATCACTGATTCCAAATGGATTTTGTTTGAATTCCAGCTCCTCTACTTATTGGTTGTATGGCCATGAGCTCATGAAACTTTGTGGCCCAGTTTCATTGCCTGAAAAAAAGATGTTCCAAAGGTACCACAGTTCACCTTCCTGCCTTCATGGCAAGACTACAAGTTGGTATCTGTGGGTGGGAAGCCAGTCTGTGTTTCCATGAGCCTTTCCCAGGGTCCTAGTGCCAAATGGATCAGGCCCTTGTGGCTCTTGGGGTCACGGTATTGATGATACTTTCCCATCAGGGACTCAAAGGCGGAAAGAAGCAGCATGAATATCTGAAGAGACTTCTATTCACTCATCCATCCACTCAATCAACACGTACCAAAGACCCTTTTAATTTAGGGCATCATGCTTCCATTAACTACATCTGGAATGCCAATAAGTCATCAACTTGCTCATGTGTCAGCTGAAAGTTTATTGGGTGGAAATGTCACTGTTTAGTTTCAGAACAATCCAAGCTTACTTATGTGGATTGTGACAAAATCCTGAGGTTTCTTCTTGGACTTATTTATGTGGACTGTATCAAAATCCTGAGGTTTCTTCTCATGCTTTGTTTGGTATCACTGCCGGACTTTGTACTTACGGAGATCTGATGGCGTGATGTGGTTGGGGATCTTCTCCTGGGAATTTCCGCTTTCTTTCTCTCTCCAGCTTTTTATAGCTACATAAGGTTTAGATCTGTTAGCAAACACTCATATAATTATGCCCCTGTCTGTTTATAGACTCGGGATAAATTGTCTTAATGGGAAGATATCTGTCCTTTGGAGTCATTTGGATCAAGGCCTTTTATTTTTGTGTGGTGCATTTGCCTTTCTTGAAATCATTTTGATGTGTGTTTCACTTATGAATTGCCTGTAGCTGATAAACAACAGCATTCAATAAACCTCGTGAAGAATCTTGTCTTGATCTAAAAGTAGTTGACACTGGGAAAATATGTGACCCATCCATATGCTTTCTCACGGATACTAAATCAAAAGACATCGTTGGATTTTAAGACTCTTAAGGGACATCTGATAAGAGGCCCCGAGAAAGAGCTGACCAGAGAGTCCTGACCAGCAGGATGCAGGAGAATTTCAATTCAGCTCAGTTTGTCTCAGAAGTTTGTCTCAGTTTGTCTCTGAAGTTTGTCTCAGCATCACAGGCATAATGCATTGTTGTTCATTCATTCAATAATTACAGGACAACTATGACATAAAGGTTAGATTATAAATGAATGACAAGTTTTTTAATTAATAAAACAGAGGTAAGTCTTGTATGGATTCTTTAGCTTTGTAGGAAAGCACCAGGCACCCTCCCAAGTGAGAAAGGCAACTTCATCCTTCTCTTCCTGTGTTATACTGGGTAAAGAAAATTTCATTCCACAGGTGATTAAGTCTGTGGAAGCCTTGGTATTTAGTCAGTTTGGGCCAACAAACACAAATGTGTGTGCCCCCCACCCCCGCCATGTTTCCTTCTTCTAAATTGCTAAAAACACGTAATGACAGGAGGCAGTCTTGTGATAATTAAGCACACCCTTTTGAATCAGACTAAATGGGTTTGAACTGGGACTCCCAACATTGAGTAGCTATTACTTAAGCTCTTTGTGACTCAGTTTCTTTGTGTTAGAATAAAGCTAATAATTATTCCCACTTCATGGCACTACTGCAGAAAATAAACAAGATAGCCAGTCTACATAAAATAGATTAGGCACAGCGCCCAACATAATTATAGTGAGAGCTTAATAGTTCATAACTATTATTATTATCAACTAATATTTGTATACCATCACAAAAAGCAATGCTTCCTGTACATTGAAACAACATACACATGACAGTGTGTCTATGGAATATACTTACCATCTATTTCAGTATCTCAGGTTGAACATACTCTTAGAGATACTTATCCCAATAAAGACAAATACCTACCCCAATAAAGGGGGTTCATTAGATTCTCATAGCATCTTTTTTTTTTTTTTTTTGGTTTTTCTCCGGTACCGGGAACCGAACTCACGACCTTGCGCTTGCCAGGCAGGCGCTTTTGCTGCTGAGCTAAATCCCCAGCCCCTCTCATAGCATCTTGTTCATAAGTTAGGAAGCATAAGGGCTCAGGATCTGTGCTCTAATGTTTGTTGGAATAACTGAAGAACACTGTAGTTCTAGAAAAGAATGGAAGACATTCTTACATAGCTTCTGCCTAAAATGCAAGACTCATGTAAGATGCCATTCAATAAGTAAGGCTGCCCAGTGATATCAGATGAGATTTCTAATATCAAGTCAGTTACCATTAGGATGGGGAAGTCTTCTACAAATCAGACCCACATTTTAATATTGCAGTTTGAGCCTCTTACCTCTTCTGTCCTCGGCAGAGATGAAGAACAGCTGGTCGGTATCCTCTTTGTAATAACCCTTCAAATAAAAGACACTTAAGTTTGCCTTTATGCACTTTTTCACTCCAGACTAAACAACTGCAAGTCCTTCAACCTTCCCCCATAGCGTCTCTTTTCCGTCTTTTAATCATTTAGGTTCTCCTTTGGAACCTTTCCAGTGTCTTCACATCATCCTTTAAAATAAGGGGCCTCAAAAAAATAAATAAATAAATAAGTAAAATAAAATAAAGGACCTCAGGCCGAACATACCTCTTCCTAAGCATCTGTCTGCTAAAAAATTCTTTATCATAGTGTAGGAAACAGAGGTGCTTCCATTTCATGTCAAACCCCCAGCAATGTGAACACCCTGGTATTGTTTTGCCTGTTTCTCATCCAAAAGGCATGCAGACTCCTATTAAATGCATGATATGCTGTGATCTTCACCTTTTTGTTAGTTATTCTTGAATCTAGACAGTAAGCCCCATTTGTGCGTGTCCCGCTGATTATCATCCCCAGGGATACCTCTTTGTAATCAGCCATCATGCTGAACTCTAAACTGTCTTTAATGAACCATTTCCTTAATGTATTGAAGCTACTTTGGATTCCCAACATATCAGCAGTTCCCACTCAAATTCATGTTACTTGAAGACTTGGGGTGTACACAGTATTATTTAAACCAGACCCAGGATAAAATCGTAGAGCACATTTTAAGCACCCTTTGTTTACTAAGCCACTGATTTCTTTTCCAGTCAGCAGGGAAGGCTGGGTCGGGAAAAGACAGACCAGAGCCTATCTTTCTGGCCTGCTGATGAGAATGGCATATGCATTCAAAAGCTTTCCTGAAATTAAGATATTATGCAGATGTGGTCAAATCTTTAATTCTGAGCACACACATACCCTAAACTGATCTTAAGCCACAAAGACTGGGGAGGGGAGGAGCAGAATATTTATTGCATCATACTTAAAACTGTAGATATACTTTAAACAGCACTGATTTACGCATCATAAATTACCTATTGGATTGAAGGAAAGGAGACAGTTAGAAGCTTTAAAGCATTAGGAAACTGCCAGTGGAAAAAGCACTCCGGAAGAACAGAAACACTTCTGAAATTATTATTAGAAAATTATTCAATTTGAACTTAGCCCCCATAAAACTTACCAGGTACGGAGACGGCACATAAAAGAATGCTCATGAATCCAGTAGGACGTCCACCTCATTAGCAGAAGAGCTGGAAAAGGGAAAGGGGTAGGAACTAATATTCATTATAATATGTGCAAAGCACACTTTCTACTAGAGTTCTGATACACTTGGCTTTTTCTGAAATCAGCCTAACTTGCCTTGACCCAGGTATTGTGGCATTTTGAGAAGTGGCTTGCAAAGCTTCTCTCCCTGGGCACATGTAATTCCCTCGAACTGTATGAGGTGGTACTGGTTACAGCACTCAGACACCCTTGAGATAAACTTTGTGCTGGGCTTTTTCTTTGTTGTTTTGCTTTGGCGGGATTTTCCCCCTTCCAGTACTTCCAAAGGAGCAATGTCATAACCTTGCACTCCGGCCTGTTTCCGGTTTGCGCTAAGGCTGGCCTGAATGAAGCAACTGAGGATAATTCCGAGACTGGTAATTGTGATGATTAGTTACCAGGTGCTCTTGGGTTGCTCCTTGAGAGTGGGCAGTTTTCCAGCCTGGGCTTGACATGGGTTTGCCCCTCCTAGGCGCTAATGAACCATTCAAGCGGCAGTAATGGCACTGGGAATTGAAGCCTTCTTTAGCCTCCCTCATTATAATGAATTGCTTCGAATTCCATCAGGTCTGTCCCTTGCAAAGCCCATTTACTTTTAGGGCCTGCTGGATGCCTAGAACAAGAATGATCACTTGGAGACAGAGGGCTGGAATGAGACTGAGGCAAGACTCTGGTGCAGACCTGAAGGAAGGGAGAGGGTGTGCGTGTCCGTGCAGGCCTTGGCAGGCAGGCACAGGGCTGCAGCGAGTCTGTTTCTTCTGAGATTCGTGCCATTTAACCTCGGGAACTCTCCGCACCTCTAGCCCAGCTCTCCCTAGGACCCTAAACTTGGAGTCCTCCCAAAGCCAGGTGAAGATGAATTCGGAGCAGAAGTTCCTTAATGGTTTGAGGTTTGGCAGAGCTATGCTTCTACTTTTCAACAAGTGTTAGGAGTGGGAAAATGGAATAAAATACCGTCGAAGTTTTGAAAAGCAATGAAACCATGTGGGGTGGCTCCTGTCTCTCTACAGCCCGCCCCTCTCCTTTAAAAAAAAGCAAACACTCCTTTCCTGTCTTGTTTGTATTCCCATTACTTTCAGGCAGGAAGCTCTCAGTGGGTGTGATGTAAACAGCTGGGCCTCGCGGGTCCGGCTTCCTCATCAGTTCGCAGCTGGAATGGCTGGGCAGCCCCAGCCCGCGAAGGCCTGGACTAGGACTTGTTGACTGAACCCCGAAGAAGGTGGGCGGGGCAGGCGAGCGCGGGAGAAGGTATAAAGGAAATGCTTGAATGATGCAGTCACCGGCGATTGTAATTCAGGGTGGTAAATTCGGTTGCTCCAGCAGAAAGAATCAAAGGGAAAATGTATGGAAAGTTCCCTGACATCCCGCCTCACCTGATAGCTGTGATTTTAGCTGCCCCCCCCCCAAGAGCCCAGGCGTCTGCTGATTATGAAACCAAGCGATTAGGAAGTGAATGACGTTAGGGCGGTGGGGTTTCCAGCGAGAACTCTGGAGCAGGGTGAGGGATCTCGGGCACCTCACGGGCAGGGCGTTTCCTCCTTCAGTTCTGCTCCCAGTTTACCGCAGGAAGCTCCCGAGCACTTGATGTAAACAGAGGCGTCTGAATGAGAACCCCCAAACTGCCGGCGATCCTCCCCGGGGCGGTTTCCTTTTCCCTGGGAGAGGAGGGAGTGACCGGGAAGGGACTCTGGAATGCTGTGGAGTTTTGACAAGTGAGCCCGCGAGTGACGAGCCGCGTTAGGATTACGTTACAGTCTTTTCATAACCTCGGCAACCCGGGCCTGAGCGGGGCGGGGGGCTCCCACAGAGCTGGAGCCCACGGAGCCGCGCGCTCGGCGAGTCCGGCGGGGCCCGCGCAGGGCGGGGGACAGCGGGTGCGGGAGGGGGTGCCGTCCCGGGGCAGCCGGCCCTGCCCGCCCCGCGGCCGCCAGCAGGTGACCGGGCTAATGACCGGCCCCCGGGGTGGCTGAACCCGGCCCGAGCGGATTACCCGGAGAGCAGCTGCTCCTGACCCAGGCTCCAAGAAAGCCAGGCGAGGAGTCGGAGAGGAAGCCTCCGAAGGTGACTTCGAAACTGGAGGTAGGAAGCTCCCTGGCAGGCAGAAAGAAAGCTCAGGCTTCCCGGCCCGATCCAGGTGGGGTGCACTTCGCAGCCGGGTGCACACAGGTGGGGGGCACGACCGCAGCCTCCGCAAGCGTCTGCGGCACTCTTCGCGCAGGTTGCTGGGGGGTTGGCCTGGGGATGTGCACGTTTGGAGACGGTTTGCGTTCCTCGGGAGCAGTGATCTGCAGCTGGCTTGTCAATGTCTGGACGGAAGGAGGCGCCCGGTGTGTGCGCGCAGGGCAGGGCCGGGGAGGGAGCGCACAAGGACAAGGCGGGGGCCTCCGGCGCCGCGCCGCGGTTCTCGGGGACGCCTTTTGTGACAGCCGCCGATTCAGCGCACGGAGGGCTAGGCAGGGGTCAGCAAACCGGGCGCCCGCCCCACTAGCCTCATCCCTTGCTTTTCCTTGTGATCAGCAGCCCAGCAAATCTGGGGCAGAGAAAGCTGTGTTCTCTACTTAGGGAACTGTGTTTATGATCCCGAAGGAGAACCCAGTCTCCTCTGGGGACAGAGCTTTACCCCAAACTACTGAACAATCCGCTTGTGCAACAGCCCCACCACTGATTCACAAAATGTTTTCATTAGAGCGTCCACAAATCAAAAGGCTTTTGACGATGAAAGCTATTTGGAAAGAGACTGGCATTTTCTATCATGGAGTCCCTGTCCACCAGGGAGTTTATAGATGCTAGCAGTGACATTAAGTCAGTTTTGCTCATGAGGTGGAAGGAAAGAAGGAGGGAACCTCAGCTGTCATTCTGGGAACCACTTCTTGGAGGAAAGGTTCTGTGAATATGAACAATAAATGTGTTTTCATAAAAGTAGGTCAAGCTGAGTTTGCTGTAAGGGGGATAGCATAAACTCTAGATAGTATAGAAGTATCTTTAAATACACAAAATATAGTATTATAGTTGTTCTTGCAACTCTAAATGCACACTGCAGATAAACTGAGAAACAGAATTAAAATGCAAGGCCTTCAGGATCTCCAGTCAAACCTACTGGCCCTGGGGGCAGCTGTGGGACCCAGCTGACAGTGGAAGCAGTGAGAAAGGACACCTGTGCCAGATCTGTAGAAAGAGGGGCCACAATCACAGGACACTGAATAGGCCACGGGGGAAGTGACAGAGAAACCCATGTGCGCTCTGGATCTGAGATTTGCTCAGCGTGTTCACCTTTGCGCTCTGAGCCTGCATTGCTGGGTAGACACAGATATCCAACCTCCCCATCGTGTAGTCAGTGGAGGCACCAGAGCAGCAGAGTTACTAAACACTGCTCTTCTGTTTGCCCTCTTGCTTCCATGACTGCCCAGTACCACGCCTGCCTTCCTCTAAGCCTCCGTTCCCGCGGCCATCTCCAAGCTCCGGGCAGGTCACACTTTGGAATTGTTTCCATGAAAGAATTCTATTGTAGCCTGTCTCCTGGGATCACAAGGCGTCTTCTCCTCTGTGCCCCCCGGTGCCTGGCCCTGCCTTCATCCTGTGTTCTGCAGCACCTGCCCTCCAAAGAGCGGGCACTAAGAGAGGGGACTCTGCGTGGGAATCTTTCTGATACTTGCTTTTCATGCTGGAATTCAGTTCCTAGCCTGAGCTTCCCTTCTCGTCCTCTTTATCAAAAGTACAAATATATATATCATATATATTATAAATACACAAATATATATATATATCAAATATTTCCATAAGGCTTGTAACTAAAGAATATCACAAACCTCAACTCCTGTGTCCCAAAGACAGCCACTTCCAACTCTTTGTCCTTCTGAATGGCAAGTGCACCCTGACCTCCGGTTCATCTCTGACTTTGACCTTTGTTCTCAGGTGGATTTGCCTCGCTGGATGGAGGCTGGCTGCTCGGCCACCATCGCGAGATGTCCTTTTGCTATCCTAGGGATTTATTTCACCTCTTTCCCATGTGGCAGCCCCAGTGTTCTAAACCCCTTGTCTTCCTGTTTATGTTCTCCTTCTGGTAAAACACAGCTTCCAGGTGTTCTTGACAAGACATACAAGGGAGGTAAGTGTTTTAGATCCCCCAAGGCTGGCACAGTTCAAGTGGGGTATAAACTCTGTGAGGAGTCCCTTTCCCTTTGAATGTGGGAAGCACTGTTTTTCTAGGTTTCAATATTGCTCTTCAAATTTCAGATGTCCTTCTAATTCCTGGTGCTTTTGAGTCCATTTCCCCCTCTGAAGGCTTTTGGAATTTCTTCCTTGTCTCTTGTAATCTCTCTTTCCATCCATTTTACAAGGCTTCCTATGGGCTTTCTCATCCTGGAAACTGCCTTTCAATTCTAGATAGTTTTCTGGTGTGGTTGTGTCTTTCTTTGGAGGTTTTGTTGTTGTTGTTGTTTATTTGTTTTTAAGAGAAGGTCTCACCAAGTTCCCTAAGCTGGCCTCAAACTCACAATCCTCCTGCCTCAGCCTCCAGAGTAGCTGGGACTACAATCATGTAGTTCTAGAGTTTTTAAAATATAAATGATCTCCTCCCTTCTTGTAGAACACCTACTACCTGGAGGGAGCCTCTCAGGACTTGACTAAAGCTCTATCTTATTTTTTCTATCTCCTTTAAAAACAATTCTACTTCCTGGGAAATTCTTCATTTTTTTTCCTTCCAATCCATATATTCCATTTCTATGTCTGCAGTCAAATTTCTAATTCCCAGAAGCTCCTCAAAAATCTGAAATTGTCTTATAACCTCCTGTTATTGTTTCACAGATGAAAAGCTTCTCAATTCTGCAGACTGCATTCCAACTTCTTTGAAGTTTTTCTCTCCTCCCTGCATTGTTTCTGTTTCCTCTCATTTCCTCTAAGTTTTGTTTGTTTTGTTTTGTAATATCTTACATGGAAAAGGCTTTCCTCACATGTCTGATGATCCGTGATGATTCACTGAAATGCTAATCGGAAGATCTGTCCAGATGGGATTTACGGCCAGAGGTAGCTACTTCTTCCCAAGAAGCAGCCCCAGGACATGACTCAGAATCCAGAACGTGCACACGGTAAACTTTTCATGCGCACTTACAGAGTGACTGAATGGCATTTGATCTTCATCTTTGTGGAGCTAGGAAGTAGTGATTAATAAAAGCTCTGCAGGCGACTTAAACCTGAGGCTGGTGCTGCCGCTCTTGTGAGATAAGCTGCAGGTGGTTTCGTCCAGGATTTCCCACATTAGGAGGACATCTTTCCTCTCTGGGGAAACAGCGCAGGTGAGGAGAAATCTGGAGAGAGAATTAGTTGAATATGGCATTCCGGGAGACAGATGGGAGCATGACCAGGAGTCTAACCTTTGGTTTGGAGGCTTTCTCTGACCCCTATTTTTGGGAGTCTTTTGACTCCCTTCACTCAGCTCTGCATGCCTGGTGTCTCCTAGTTCAGGGTTGCTCTGATTCAGGAAAGAAGCACATTGCAGAATGGAGACCCTCAGCCGGGATCTAGCACTGAGACAGGTTAGGTGGTCTGATGGCTTCGTACGCAGACCTTTAGGGAGCCTCCGACTTTTGAGGGATCTCCTGCCCTTTCACTGTACAGTGCTCCCAATTCCAGGCTCTCTTTGGAGTTCTGGGCACGAATCCCAGCCTGCTGCCGAGGCTTTCCGGAGGCAGCGCTCAGCTTCAGCTTTCTCTCATCTGCAAAGTCAGTTACTACTACTGTAGTTTGTGTACTTTCAGGTTCCAAAATTTTATTGCAATCATTGTTACTCCTGTCACCTGGTATGGAGGATTGAGCCCAGCCATTTTTATTTTGAGAAGGGCTTTCACTGACTTGACCATCCTGGCCTCTAACTTGTGATCTTCTTGCCTCAGCTTCCCAAGTAGCTGAGATTAGAGGTGTGAGCTGCCTATAATCCCCACCTTGCCCTAAACTTTTACAAAACCTTATACTCCCTTTACAGTCCATCATGTTTATTGGCAAGTGACCTTCTTCCTGATGTGCCCAGCTTTGCCTTGGAACCCTCCTGTTCTTCCTCCTGCATTTATACCATGCTGCTATAGGTACCCACTTGCAACAGACATATAAAAACCATCTGGTACTTTTTTTTCTCAGCTATAGTACTTAAAGTTGCCTCTAGGCTCTGAACAGAGTGGTTACTGGGCATTTGTGTTGACGTGTTCAAGTCTTCTCTTTCGGGTCA